ACACCACAGAATACTATATCAGATTGCTCCTGCGGGAGGTACAACAGTGAAAAGAAATTAAACCGAGTTCTAAATTTATTTATTGTTCCCCAAAATGTGTTTGAATCATGTACATTGCCCAGATCATTCATAACACTAAGCTCATATTCAAAATGCTTCGATTTAACTATATTTTTAAATTTCTTTTTAGTAGCAATGTATTTATGGACGGTACTGTTAAGATAACCATTTTTTACCATTGATTTTAATTCGAATTTTACATGTTTTTTAGTTAACACACATTCAACATCGAACCATGGCTTATTTCTTTTGTTGTAATTAGTGTTGGGGCCAGGGGTACTTCAAAATCGAAGTACAAATCTTACCCCGGTGAGTTTCCTCAAAGGCGGAGAAAATTCGAATAAAATTAAAAAATGAAGGGAAGGAAGGGGAAAAAAAATTAGTGAATAAAAGTGAGACCTGTAAAAGAGAAAAAAAGCATGAACATCAAATATTATAAAATTATTCAATTAATTAAATATGTGGAAAATAAAAGATCCCCCTTTGAATGTTTACAATATTTATTATGGTGAAAAAAAGATATATACAAATGTTGAAAACAAAACAAAATAAAAGAAGAGTATTAAAATGCACTGAAATAAAATGAAACATAAGATACAATATTCAGAGAAAATAAAAACAAATTAAACATTAGGAAAAAAAATATAAATAAAACCAACTTCTAAAATTATATACAAAATCAAGAGAAAATAAATAACTGTTTAAAAGAATAAAATTAATTTACAGGTGAAACGAAAATTAACTTAATGTTCAAATGTCTTGGTGATGGTGAGAATAAAAAAACAAAAAAAACGAGCCAAGTCGGAGGTTCTGCTTCCAACCTAGTTACCTTCTCGATGTCCAACAGTGGATGGTGGGGAAATCGAATCGATAGCCTATCGATCGATCGATGACTCAGCTGTGCCCAACAGCTGTTATCAAAAAATGGCGCTAGGATGTTACCAGGTGAGGTGAATCTGGACTGGAGGGGGTAGACGTCCACTACTATGTCAACAAAGGCTAGTTCCAGACTGACTTTAGACCGCAGCCCAGCAGTTTTAGTGTCTTAATCTCTAAGACCGGGTATTACTGCCGGGCTGGTGTGTATATACTACACGACAACACATCGCAAAATAATCCTAAATATACAATGTACAATTGTGGGACAATTATCCCTCAGTTTTTACTAAAAAAAATAAATAATCATTTTATTGCTGACATATAAAAAGGGGTGAATGGTGAGAAAAATAATAATGAAAAAATTAAAGATATGTGTGTATGGGGCGTTAAAAATTAGTATGAGATTTTATTAAGCCGAGTAAGTTCGAAGTCTCATGTATACCTAACAATATATCATTTTGAATAATTTCCACTGATTCAGAGATTATGAGAAAACCTACCCTAGGTGAACTCATAATTAATTGTTGGTATATTAAATTTTTAGTGTCATCCCATTTGACCAGAGTAGTACCATGATTTAATTTTTTTAAAGAACTATTAGGAGAATAAGGGAAAATAAAGAGCGTTGTCTTAATAGGGAATTGCTTTGAACCTGAAAACATATGCTTTATTTTTAAATCAGCTATTAAATTTATATGACTGTGGTTTATATGACCTCACCATATCAATCACATTTTTACCATTTGAGGTGATGTTAGTATACTGACCGGGATTATCGCTGACTGTTCTACCATTTAAAAGTACAAAGGAGTTATTCTCTATAAATTCAACCAATAATTCTCCCACGTAAATAATTCCCCCAATAATTAACAAACGTTAACAGGAATGACCGTAGAAGAAATAATGTTTAATTTAAAATAAAATAAAAATCTTCTACGTTCCAATAATAGTAAAAAGTGGAATACACAACTGCATGAGTAAACAAAGTTAAAAAATAAAAATAAAAGACTCAAAACATGGTGGTTGTGGGGAACGCTGAAACATATTTCATTCTATGGCTTTAATATCTTCTTTTTTATAAATGATATTGACAGGGAAGCCATCCTCTCTTCTATATTTAATTTTTCCTCGGCCGAACCAGAGGTACTTCAGCTTCCCTGTCGCCCTTTTTTGCCTCGCCAACCAGGGCTCATTCCTTCGTCTACGTATATCCTCTCGTCAGTGTCCCTGCCTAAATGTCTTATTGAGAAATTCCTTTTTACTATGTGCAGACGAATGACCTCATCGTGTACAGTCTGGTGAACGAACCACACGACGATGGATATATTCTTCGCCCTATCATTTTCTTATTGAAAGTATTAAATATTAATGTCTTTTGTGACATTTGTCATATTTGTTGTCTTAACCAGACTGAGAATAGGCCACACCAATCTTATCCATTCATATATCATTAGCCAACAGCCACCACCACAAATTACAATCAGCCACATTTTATAGAAGTGTCCTTTTAGCATATCAAGTCTAAATAGTTCAGGACTTACATCGCCAATAGCAAACATTTTAAGGGATGACAAAGACACAATAAAGTTAGTGTTAGGTTTCTTGAAATCAAACGATTTGTTTAGAAAAATTTAAAATCTCTTAAAAATTTAATCCAAAGATAAACAAAATTAATTTACAGGTGTTCATGACCCTGATATTTTACGCCTTAAAACCTCAAGAAACAACAACAACAAAGATACATGAATTGTTTTTAGATAATTTATATCTGATAAATATCACTAAAATTTTGGAATGCTAGTATAAATAGAGAGAGAGAGAGAATCACTTTATTATCATAAAATAGAATAAAATGGTGCTGCCCAATTACATTGGGTTGCTAACAACACAGCATACTTATTAATCACTACAGACATTATTTAAAATTATTATACAATTATATAGGATTAACAATATGTATGAGCATAGTATACACTATTTTATACGTATATATATATATATATATATATATATATATATTTTTTTTTTTTTCCTTTTTTTTTCTCCTTTTTTTCTTAATCAAATAAATAAAATCAAAAACAAGGTTTTAAATATAGAAAAAATAAATAAAATTAGAAATGTAAAAGACACGAATAACATAAAATACAAAAAATGTACACACATAAATAAGCTATCACAAAGTTTAATCAAAACTTTTAAAAATTTTGATTTACCTGAATATAGTTTCGTTTATTATATTAATATATATTATATTGTTTATTTATAACAGCACCAGAGTCTAACACCCAAAAAATTGAATAAGTGCAAAATAAGGCCCTCCGAATTATTACTGGTACCCCAAAATCATCCCCTATTGCAGCTATGCAGCTCCAAATGTGTATAGAACCCATCAAGAGTGAGATGATGAGTTTGGAAACTGACTACTGGTAGGAATGTAAACCTATCTCAATGAGGCTTTAAAACCCAAGTCACGTTCATGAAGAAATTTGACACAATAGGAGAAATTGAAGGACTAGTTATTTCTTCCAGAGAAAATTTCATGACAAACCCAACAAGGGTCTCTACAAAGTCAGCAAAAATCAACTTAATCACAAAATTCTCTGATTTTGACAAAAATGCCTAAATACTTCCTGACTTTTTCCAAAAAAATAAAATTCCTAAATTTTTCATGGTTTTCCTTGTTTGTAGACAAAAAAAGGGGATTTGAGATTGTCAGTGACATATGTACAAAAATGTATATATAAGTTAAGGTATGGGGTGAGAGGGTATCAGATTTAAAACCATTTTTCTCATGCAAATAAACACATGTTATCTCAATAACTTTCTGTGAAAATCTCAACAACTTGATAAAATAAAGTTAGTTGTAATTCAATCTATGTTCGAATCTTTTGTGCACCTTTTCTTCTTTTTTTATATTTATTAAACTAGCCAATAGTTAAATTAGCTAACAATATATATACATATATATATATATAGTTAATTAAACTATTGATTAGTTTAATAAATATAAGAAAGGAAGAAAAGTTGCACAAAATGATTATACAGTAAGAACCCCTATTATCCAGGGCTTAATTAACTAGAGGTCCAAGGGGCCAATTTTTTTGTTTTGTTTTAATAAGGTGTTTTTTTTTTTTTTTACACCATTTATTTTATATGTATAATATTTATTGTAAAAAATGAATACATAAGGTTTTTTTAATGATTACATAGTTGTTAATTATGTATTGTTCTTACAAATAAAGAAATAAAACAATGAATAGAAAAAGAAGCTGGTATCGTATGGGTGAGATGTTTCCGGTAACTACTAGTCCAACTCATATTCTAGAAACCTAGAAACGGTAATGTTTTCGAGTCTTTATTTAAAACTCCAACTGGCTTGACAACAAAACAAAATTATTTACTCAGTTATGGTTTAGTCTCCATTTAAATACAAACTAACGAAATTTCGTAAAAAAAAAACATTATTTTTAATGCTTGAATAAAAATTAACTATTACAAACCGAATAGAATTAGGAATTGATGAGCAAACTGTTTGCGATATTTTGAAGACAAAGAAAGACATTTCAGACTTCGTATCATTGTTGGCCTAAAAATCATGTCCTTGGAAAACAATGAAGAACTCTACATTAAAAGATATAGATGAAGCCGTCTATCAATGGCTCATGCAAAAATGAGCTGAGGGCAGAAAAGAAATGTATAATAAAAATAGAATAAAATTACTGCTTTTTTCTCCAAATGAAAATTCAATATATATGTAAAAACATGCATGAATTCATTCTTATGTTATTTTTTATATTATAATTTAATGTATATAAAACGTTTGCTGGTTAATAATAGTGATGATTTTCTGAATTTTTTTTTTTTAAATTAACCTTCTGATCTATCACATTAAGTCAATAAAATGAAGTAAGTAATTTGATTATCCGGAGATTTCGATTATTCATGAACCTCCATACCCATCATTTCCCCCGGATAACAGGGGTTCTACTGCCTATATATACCCATGGCTAATTAAATGAATTCCTGTAAACAACTATATTTTTTATCAATATACAACTTACTCATCACCAAATATCTGATGACACATCTGTGGTCTGAAGATCAGTGAGTTATCAAGCAAATCGTCTCCAATTTTAACTGTGGAAGGAAAGAAAAAAATCAATAAATTCAAAGGGAAAGTATTAAAATATATATATATATATATATATATATATATATATATATATATATATATATATATTAAAATACAAGTGTATCAATAAAATTAAAATTTGATATATGCAAGGTTAAATAAATATCATTTGAAACATAAAAAATGACAAGTTTTTATAAGTAAAGACTTAAAAATCATTCAAAATTTAACTAAACTGCAAAAAGTGAATATTAAAGAGAAAATCACCACTTCCTTTGACACCTCCCCTCTCCTCCTGCCAACCCTTGACAGTAGCTAGTAACTGCTAATTGCGATGAATTTACCTTAATTGTAATGCATTTATAGGGAGCGGGGTGGCTCAGTGAGTGAGCACTGACTTTCAGAGCTCAAGGTCCTAGGTTCGAATCCAGCTAATGACTAGTAATTTTCATTAGCCCTGGATCGACCCTGGGGTTGGGAGACCCTCCTGAGGCACACCCAGCTCCTAAAAATTGGATACCCTTAATTGAAAAAATTATTAAGGGGGAAAACCTGGCAGTTGAATGTGATATCGACCCCATCACCTCCCTGCACAACCTTCAATCAACTGCCTTGTAACAGTACTTCCCCACATAGTACTGCACCCTTCATGTTTTTTTTTTTTTTAAATGTATTTATAGCTGAATTAATATTATTTTTAAATTAAATTGAATTAATAATATTTTTTAATATTTAATATTATTTTTTTTATTTTTCACAGTCATCATGAACAATTGTTTAAAAATTTATTTTTATATCAAATTACAATTTCAATATAAACATCTATCCTTACATGCTACGATTTTCCAATTTTTTGAGGGTATTTTATTCTCCTCTTCGTGGATATATTTTGTTCCAAACAATTTTTAATATAACAGGATGGTTATCAGACAATTAAAGTAAAATTCCCAGACATTTTCCTATTTATTGATAGTTTTCCCTGAGTAATATGTCTGGGAACCCAAATATTAAAAATGTATAATTTATAACTGAATTTATTTATTATACATGAAAGAAAATTGACTACAAAATGATTTAAGTAAAAAAAAAATCAGACTTTTAAATAACAAATATAATGTTTTAGAAGAATTTTTTTGGCTTGATTAGGGTTTTTTATTTTCATAAACTGAGCCATAGTGTCCAGCAATTTTCCCGGTTTTTTCAGATGTTCACTGTTTTTTTTTCTCGTTCTTTTCTTACTTTTTTACCCATAAATACTACTCTTTCACATGAGGTGTTTGGTTTCAAAACAGATTACATCGATTTATTTTTAAGAAATTATTTTTTTTATTTTTCAAAAGTGTTAAATGTTTATTTTTATAAACTTAGATGTATTTGTTTCAAATACCATTTAGATCTTCCCAAAATCAATACTAAAAGATTCGATTTCCTATCAAAAGTGGTTCTATACAACCTTTTTTGGCCAGTTCTAAAACATATTTAAAAATGGATGTAATCGGTTTTGAAACCAAACGCCTCAAATAAACAATAATGAGTACAGCTGCCTAGAGTGTCACGTAAGTTCTTATCGAAACATATACTCATATTACACTTTTTATTTTATTTTATGAAAAGGATATTCGAGTAATGGTCTGCACATATATATGGGAGTTCTGAAAAGGTATAATATATAAATTTATTATTATTTTTTTTAAAGAATGTCTTTATATCAAATAGGTTTTGTATATAAATTGAAATTTTTTTTTTTACTTTCTCTCGCGAGGAGGACAGAGGATTAATGTCAGAGTTAAAAGTCCCTACGGAGCCAGGACGGGAACTAGTAATTATTATATCTTGTAAACTTCTGTTTACATATATATGGGAGTTCTGAAAAGGTATAATATATAAATTTATTATTATTTTTTTTTAAAGAATGTCTTTATATCAAATAAGTTTTGTAAATAAATTGAGATATTTTTTTTACTTTCTCTCGCGAGGAGGACAGAGGATTAATGTCAGAGTTAAAAGTCCCTACGGAGCCAGGACGGGAACTAGTAATTATAATATCTTGTAAACTTCTGTTTACATATATATGGGATTGATAGGGAAATTGACATCTACGCATTTTTATACTTGCTGCAATAGTCGGGTGCCTTTCACCACAGATTAAAGCTCCTAGCAAATAGATTTCCTTCCATGTATCAGTGCGTGTCAATATCCTAAAGTCTCGAGTTTCGTTGGGGGTGTGTTAGGCACCTAACTACGACAGCTTCTTTTTTTTTTTTAATTTTAGCGGATTAATACAGTTGCTCAGTAGATTTAGCCATCAAACTTAAAAATCATTCCAGCCTTTCACTTAAACAAAGCGCTATAAAGCTATTAGCAGATGACCCAAACACATTACCATCGTTTCGCTTCGCTTATTTAGATAATTAAAGATATTCAGCTGTTGTAAATTCATAAATTTAGATTTTTTATCATAATAATATATAGCTTACAATAGAGCTCATCTAATACGTCTTGAAAACAGAACAAAAGGAGTAAAAATAAAAAAAATTTAATTGTTTCTGCCAATTAAATTTATTGCACTAATACAGACTTGTTAACATATTAAATAAAAATTCATCTAATTAGGTCGATGTTCTCATATCTTAACCCCACAAAGGCTAATAGAAGACCCCCGAACTTATACCGTATATTTAAGAAGTTATAACGGCAAAAATCATAAGTTGCAAGGAAAAAAGAAAAATAACCAAAATGTCATCAAGAATCATTACTTTTAACTTTTAGTTTTAAGTTTAAAGTGACTAGCTAAACAAAATAAATGTCTTCTTATATTTTCATTAGTTGAGAAGTTTCTTGTTTCATTGCTCTTCATGTTACTGGAGAGAAAAACAATTCAATAAAAAGGTGTTGCCTTTCTGTATACAATTGTTTATTTTTTCTTAGTACCAGTTTCGGTTCTTCTTAAGGCTAAATAAAATATAAAAAATAGCAACAATAATATAATAAAAAAACGAAATTAAGAAAACAATCTTTAAAATGAATAAAAGTTTAACAATTAAATAAAAACTAATTATCATGTAATTTATTACGGTCCTTCTCTCTTGCTTGTCAGATGAGGGCTAAAAATGAAAATAAAACGATTGTTTAGATGGGCTACCCCACCCCCTTTACATCATGTTTTCGTTAACCGCTACTAATTTACAGAGTGCAGAATCCTCAAAATTGAGTATTATTGACATTTCAGCGCAATACGTTATTTTTTTTTCTTGATTTCTGATTTTTCAAGAAAATCCATTCTTTTCCCTTTAGGTACAGCTTGTGTTTTTTACCATACTATTTTTATGACAATGAAAAATTTACAAAATGGTCCTTGAAATGAGATGTATGGCCTGACACGAGAAAATATTCTTTAATACTTTTTTTTTTTTTTAGTATCCTTTAGATCTGCCCGATATAAACGACAAACCGAAATCAAGTAAAACCCATGCTTAAAAATCAGAGTTGGGCATATATGTCTCTTTATCCCCTCGTAATTGAATATAAATATTTGATATAGAATGTTTTAATATTCACATAAAATTATGGATAAATATTCTTCTTTAAAAAATATATATTTTCTTTCAAATTTATGAGTCGAAATACATATATTTACTATCGTTGTTTAGGGTTGATCACCCTAAATTGATATTACTCCCCTCCCCCTTCATGGGGTACATGCAAAACATCGCCAAGCAGGTAACACTGCAGTGACGGTGGCGGAGAAAATGATCGACTGAAGCCAAGAGAGGACGACTTCTCTTCCCTCTTCTAGACTTTACTTTTCTTGTTCTACCATGGGAGAGTAGAACATTCCGAGACTTGCCGGACCCGTGGAGGTGAGAAGGGAATGAGACAGCCGGCCGACCATTGTACCGATCAGCATTATCCATAACCTCAGTCATCATGCAGCCACAGCCAAGTAACATATTGTAAAATCCTTAATTCAAACCCCCATCTCTATGTAATATTAAATACAATTATATTTATATCAATCATACAGTCCACTGAATTCTTTATCAGCACAAGCATTTCTATGTACCCGATCATATAAAAAATGATGGTACGACCCAAAACAATCGTATTCAATCCTGTAAATATGAATATACTTATACTTACAGTTGTGGTAAAGAATATTGTCATATTCACATAAAAGTATGTATAAACATTCTTAATTAAATATTAATACTAAGGTAAATTTATCAGTCTGTGTACAAATATTTGCATCAAAATACATGCCTTTAAAAATGCATACACTCATATTTACAGGAGTGATAATGAACACAATTATATTCCCATAAAAATTATAATGAGATATGCTTCTTCATTTATTATAAATTTATTTTTACACAAATTAACAATATATATACATTAAACATGCAAAAATTAATAGCTTCTGAAATCCATGTCCATATCCACCCTATACGTGTTTCCCTGACTGGGCTCCCATGAATATAGACAGTATTTTCATCACAGAGAAACCAAATAACATTAAAAACTTAAAAGGAAAAATACCTCCACAATGTGACTGTTCAAAGGCTGTTTAATTAATAAAAATATTTATTTTTAAGATTATGTGAATAGGACAATATTCTTTACAACGTCTGTAAATAAAACCATTTTAAATTTTATTTGTTTAGTAATAAGGAATATTTATTCATACTTTTAAATGAACATAACAAAATGCTTTACCGCACATGTAAATACAACCATATTCGTATTTACACTAGTGAATAAGATAGAAAATATTATGTATTTAGACTTGTTATTCTAAAGAAAACAAATATTTTTTAAATAAAACATATTTATCAATAATTTTATGTGAATATAACAATATTCTTTATTACATATGTAAATAAAATTACTGTGGAATGAGTAGACTTTTGGGCTGTAGTCCTCTGATATGGAAAAATATATATTTTTTTTTATCTATATTTATTTCTGTGTGCAATTTGTGAACTTAAATATAATATGTATTCTTTTT